TGCCATCCTATTATTAAAAATCTCAGGATGGCTTACAATATTTAAACGAACAATTAAAACTACAACAATTTCTAATAGATAAATTGAAACAGAATAATATATACAACAAAACAGTAAATCACAAAACAAAACAAGAGCGACTGAACATTAAAAGTTGATTTTAAAATACCATTTAAATAAAAAGGTTTTGGCCTGGCACCAAAAAGAGTATAAACACAGCGCCCGGCGTACCTCTCTGGGAAGTTCAGCATATTAACATGCTGTAATGGAGGCAGGGAATGTCTTTTGGCCTGAGGGCTAAATTCAAGTTTGGAAAGCCTCTTGGGGGTCATGTTCCAGGGACATGCTGAGAGAGGTAAAAGTACCTGAGCCAAGAGAAAAAGGTGTATGTGCAATCACAAACAACACACGGTTATTGTATCTTAAAGCTCATACTATCAGTAACTAAGCCTTGCAGGAGACATTTCAGCCTTACAGAACAAAGGAAAAATACCTTGGAAACCTCCAAATGACTGATGGACTCTGCTGGGAAAACTCCAGACAGCTGGTGGGGACTCCAGGCCTAGGTTTTCCTGCCTCAGTATATGAAAAGCCCCTTTCAGTCTTTCCTGCTGCATGTAGATCAAATGCATGTGATGGAGTATATTTGCTTATTTAGGATTATCCCCCATCCAGCAGTGGCCAGTGTCTCCCTCGCCAGTGGGTGGTGCATCTACTCTGGCGTTAACTCTGAATGCAGGAGCTCTCCACACATCTGAACCTAGTCTGGGTGGGAAGGATCAACACCATGGACAGCTCCTTGAAGTCTAGATTAAAGCCTGCACTGGGCTCATTCCTCCACTAGCACTGAAGGTACCAGGCAGGCCCCACTGTTGGGTCCCTAAGCAACAGCTACAAGTCTGCAAGTTGTCTGGAGAGGGGTGCCTCTTAAATCGTTGCATGTGGAATGTAGGAATGGAAGAAGCTGCTTTATACGCAGTCAGATCCCTGGTCCTATAGCGCCGTGTTGTCAGCAGTCCAGGCAGGAGTTCCTCCAGCCCTGCCTGCAGATGCTGGGAATTGATTCTGGGACCTTCTGCAGGCAACACAGGGGTAGTAGCAGTCACTTTTGGTCCCTGCCACCCCACACGATTGGGAGCCTGGGGTCATTGGTGCACATGACTGCATGGAGTGCCTAGGCAACGCTGCTGTGGGTGCCAGGGTGCTCCTCTTCAGGCCCCCTGATGGATGCCCTGATGCTTGGGGTGGGGCCAGCCAGCAAAACCCAATTGTCTCCTCCGGCTTTGCCCAGGGAGTGGCTGGAAGGAAGTGACATCTTCAGCCTCCATGGCTGATGACACCCTTCTGTCTTGTCAGGTGTAAATCTATCTTTGCTTTGCAGGATGAACACCTTGGCTTGGAAGAGGCTCTGAAGAACTGATGGGGAATTTTCATGGCTCCCATTGAGAACTGTGGCATAATGGTGAGAGTACTGAATGGGGACTCGGGAGAGCCAGGGTCAAATTACCACTAGGCCATGAAGCTCACTGGTGCTCACTGGCTCTCCACCTGACCTCCAAAATGTTGTCAGGAGAATGGGATGGAGGAGAGTGATGATGGCAGCTTCCGGGGGCTCCTTGCCTGAGGAAGAAAGGAGGGATGCGCGTGCATTGAGGACTTTGGTGGTAATAATCATACAGGCACCAAATTACATTTGTAGGACAGGACTGGAAGATTTGCCCCAGTACATTCTGGAATGCTTTCTATGGAGCCAGTGTGGTATAATGCTTAGAGTGATGAACTGGGACCCCAGAGATCTGGGCTCTAGACCCTGCAAGCCACAAAGCTTACTGAGCTGCTTTGTGTCTATTGCTGACCCTCAGTGTTCCCCACCTGAAAGAGTTGTTGTGAGGATGAAGTGGAGAGGAAACATAAGCCCCCTTGGGCTCCTTGCAAGAGGAAAAAAGGCAGGATGTAAATTGAATGTAACATTAATATTAATGCAAATAAATCTTTTGCTATCCCTGTGGCACAGAGTTGTTGTGGACCTGTGTACATGCAGCACTAGCTAGAATCAGACTGATGGTAAATGTCAGGCTGGTGGTGTTTTGGTAAATGGCAAACTTTCCTTTTCCTGACTATACAGTGTCAGCTTTTGGACTTGAAAGATTGCAGGCTGTGACAAACTTGAAAATGAACAACGAAAGATAGCCTGAGAAATTACCAGTGAAGCAAAGCAAATGCGTTCTCCATCATCACAGCGCTGGCACAACATGCATCACTTTGATATTCACTTAAAAAGCCTTCATTTCATAATGAAGCACCTGCTGTTGCCAGTTTTACTTTTAAACCCAGCAGCACCAGCTTTTGAAAGAAAGAAAACAGAAATACTGTTCACAGAAATACTCCTCATACACATACTCCTCACGGGGGGGCAGAAGGTCTTGCCCAGTGGGTGCACACTGGGCACATGTGGATCTGCCCTAGATGCAAACCATCCAATGTGCTCGGGCATGTCACACTTTGAACATTTCATTCACTGGCTGAACATGCAGCCTGCAGGGTTGCATGTGCTCACCTGTGATTAGCTTGCAAGAGTTAAGGATTCCTATCACCCACGCTTCTGCAGCAGAAAAGTTTAATTCATGGCAGGCATGTCATGAGCAAAGCTGGCTGGAGCTGTGGGTCAGACTAGATGGCCCAGGAGACCCCTTCTGATTTGCTCTGTGTCTCTGTTTCTGTGTTTCTAAACTCTCTGTTATCATGCACCTTCTTTCACTGGCTTCACATGTTATGATGCTCACTTTTGTTTTTTAAAACTGTTGTGAATTTGTCATATTGTTCAAACACCACAATGATATATCACTAGGGCTTGTTTCTGGCCCAGAGACCAGGATAAGAAACAATGGTTTGTTGCATGGTTTCTGCTTACTATGATTGTCTGCTATGATGTACAGACATGGAAGCTCCATTTTCTATTTGTGGTAAAAAAACAACAACCCAACAACACACACACACACACACACAATTGAGTTCTGGCAAAAGAACTGCAGCAGAAGGGGTTGCTCCGGGGGTCTCTATCACCCATAGATTCCTAGTCACATGTATGTCATCACTTGCTTTGTTCCTGTTGGCTGCATGCTTGGGCCCATCACCTTGTTTACATTCTGAAGCTGGGAGAAAATGAGTAAATGAATGGAGGGGAAAAGTGAGGATTGTAGCAAAAGTATTCATTTCATTTTTTAAAAAACTTTTTGGTTAGGAAGTGTTGAAGAGATGGAAGTAAAATCAGGAGTGAGAAAAGGAGAACCTGCCTCAGGACCTCAGTGGACCAAGCAGGAGGAGAATGAGTAGGGAACCACAGAGTGATGTTCGTGTTCTCTTTGGGACTGCTGGGATGTGTGGCAAGAGCGGGGGAGCAATTATGGGGTCAGCCAGGCCATCTGTCAGGGAGACCCCCCCCCCCACTCCTTGTCATGGCACGCAGACCCAAGCATGGCCTCATGCCCAGGGAGCTGTCCGTGGTCCTTAATATGATTGCGTGTTCAGATTAGGAACTTAAAACAGTGATTTCTCCATTGTGTCCTGTTCTTGCAGATGAAAAAAGGAAATTGCTATGAAATACGGCCTTTTCCTCCATTCTCACATAGAGTAGATCTGAGGCCTGCCCACCAGGATGATACCAATGTAATAAGAGACCTGCATTGTGATCCTTTTGCTGAAGCCACTCATGTTTTAGTGGCTTGGTTTCTGTTGTTTTACATCTGTTGCTGTATTTTAAATCTTTTCACTGCTATTAAGTGTAATTTTGGTTTTTATTTTAATTTTATACTGCAGTTTTAAACTTTGATATTGGGATTTATCATCTCATACTTTATGGCATTACTTATTGTGAACTGCTCAGACAGCTCAAGCTATTGGGTAGTATACTAATGTAATCAATGAAGCAATTATTATAATTATTAAAATAATATTCCTTCTCCTTTTTACAGATAATAGCCACTTTGAGCAGTTAGCATTCCTGGGAGGGTCAGGATACAATGATAATTCATCCCTTCCATTGAATTTGTATGGAAAATTAAAATAGTTGCTCCATGCACAGGAGTGAGGGCCACTTTGCCCTGGAAATATTGTACCTGGGAAACTGTCAAGGACACTGTGTACAAGAAAGATGGCCTCCTCCATTTATACTGTACATGAAATCGCAAACTCTTCTTCCTATGCAACGTCTGTAAGTACTGCTGCTACCAGGGTGGTGCTGTTGCTGCCTCATTTTGCGCATGATTGTGGTGGCAGCCAAGTGTGTGGAGTGGTTGCTTCCTTTGCCCATCAAATGAAGCCTATAAAAACATTAAAGGCAGCCTGAGACCAGCAGTGGAATAAGGGGAAATGGTCAAATAAGGGCAAGACATTTGTGTAAATGAGAAATCTAGAGAGTAACTTGATTCTAATCTGTACAACAGTCTGGGGAGAGAGGATCAAGTTGTTTGGCTTCTGCATACAAAGTGAATAGCTTCCTTGAGCATCCCCAGCCAAACAGATCTATAGGCAGATGTTATCAGAGTTCATAATGGAAAGCACGCTCATTAAATCACTTTGGAGACAACCTACTCCACCGTGGATACTTGTGTTGGGAAGCAAATATCCACACTGCCTTCAGAATGCATAAGAGATATTTGCTTCATTATTCTAACTTAATATATATTCATGTCAATGATTAGTCTAATTTCACCATGGGCTGATCCACCCACCATGGGTTGGGTGATCCAAACACAAGCTGATTTGCTGATAGTATCAATTCTTCACACAAGGAAGTGCAAATCTGTGCATCCATACCACATCGCCTTTAAAAAGAAATATAGCTTGGAAGCAATGAAAGGACTTCACTGGCTTCCGGTTTATTATGGGACACAATTAAAAGTGTTGGCACTTTACATAGCTCAGGATCTGGGTACCTGAATGGTACCTATAACAACATGTCCATATGTTGATGTCATATGTGGTGACTGTCCTCTGGGTACCTTCATCGCCTGAAAAACATGGGTGGTGACCAGTAAGAGAGAGTCTTCCTAGTTGTGGCACCCCAGTAATAAAGTGCTCTCCTCAAAGATGCCAGCTGTCATGGGGCCACTCAAAAGCAGAGTTGCCCAGAAACAGCTCCAGGGAGGACCCAGAAATGCCTCCAAATAGGACAGTCCTCTGGATTTCACTAGCTGAAATAGGATCTCACTACCTCTAAGGGAAGCACCACTGCATTATGTTTCCAAAGGGTGGACTTCCAAACTGGATCCTCACTCCTCGGAGCCTGTCTAGAAGTCTGCAGATAACCAGATACAGCACATGAAAGGTAGAGTTCCCAGAGGAACTCTCAAGGCAGTTGCTTCAGGCTAACCTGGCTTGCACCTGAATTCAAGCCAAAGGCCAATTCCCTTGGTACTGTCCAGGGTCCTGAACACGCTCTGCTTCAGATCTGTACCACGTAGCAGTTTTCCTTCATGCCTTCTCACCTGAGCGATTAGCTCAGAGGAACGAGGGTGTTCCTGCTGGATTAGGGCATCCTCTTGGTGCCTGCCAAAGATGCTCTGCTATGTAATTCATTTTAATATTCTAATCCTTCTTTAACCTGTCAGTGTTATATTCTAGTTTTGAATTGTCTTCTTTTTGTAAACTGTCCTGGAAGCTTTAATGAAGTGATGTGTGAACTTTTTTTAATAATAATCAAATCCTGACCTTCACTAACCACCTTCCCTAATTAACATTTGCCAATTCTTGTGAAACCGTCTCCTGCCCACCTGCCATGTGGGGTGCAGAGCCCCCTCTGAGCAGGGCCCAGGTGGACTGGGGCTCATTTCCTGCCTCCAGCAGAGAAAAACATTCTATGGCATTTGCAGTCTGCATGATCCCTTGCAGATCTTGCTCAGTGGCAACAAATTAACTACTACCCGGCCTCCTGTTTCCACTGCTGGATAGCCACTAAACAGCTGGCGAATAAGGGGAGAGGCAATGGGCTTTAAGCCTCCTGAAATCAACATTACAGTATTTGATAAGATGTAAGCCTGCAAAATGAAAATTATAAAAATTAGTCTCATCTCTTGTAATAGTTAGTTTTGAGAATAACATTGCCCTGTCATCTTCCCCCTCATTTTAAATGGGCAGTTTTCATTTCCATCTGCATCTCATGAGCAACCGTGGCAATTCTACCTTCCTGAAGAGCTACCTTTGAAACACATTTTCAGTACCTGATGGCCACAAAGACTCCTTTTTGAGCAGAAGCTGTGGGATCCAGTCTCTTTAAAAGACAGAACAAAACTACTCTATCATTTTCCTTCCTATGGCCACTAAATATATGAATACAGGATATTGGGCTAGGTGTTAATGACTCAGGATTTTAAAATTATTTTCAACTTTATTCTGTGGCAGTGATGCAATGCCAATATCTCCCTCCTGCAATGTCCCTTTCACCAAAGGAATAACTTCCCCACAGCCCCAGGGTCTCAGGCTGTCTGGGAAAACTGAGAAAACTTACTCTTCTTTGAGTTGACTAAAATGGCATTGTCAAAATTAGCTGCAAGGAGCAAGGCAAAGATACAGGGCAGATATACCCCTGTTAAAATGCAAGTATTTGATTTTTTACCCCTGGCTATATTGAAAGCACTAAAGGCTTTAAATTTGCCTCGAAGACTTAAAGCTGGATCATGTTTCTGAGGAATACAGATACATAAGTAAAATAATAAGATATAAATTGCCTGAGCAGATTCAACTGAGTTTCATCTAAATGTTTCATATCCTTAGGATCTCATCATTGGGCCCAAAGGTGAAGCTTGTTCTGGGTTTGCTCCAGGAGCCACTTTTCAGAGACATGCTGACTCTGAGCATGGAGGTTCTGTTTCGCTGTCCACTCCATCCCACCAGCCTCTTGGCCACACCAGCTTTGAACTACATGCGTCTTCAAAGGAAGACCCAATGGCTGGTCTGAATCCTGAGAGGGTTCCTGAGATCCCCACATGGGAAGAAGTGAGGCTGAAGATTTGGAGGGGCTCCTTAAACCCTGACAGCTCTCACTCACTTGATCTTGTTCCACTCAGTTGTCACCCCCCACCCCCCAGCTGAATTGGTGATATGTCCAAATGGAAACACAGAGCTAGCAGTTCAGGTCTCTCTGCTGGCATGAGGGGAATACTCCTTGGGCCCTGCACACCTGCTTCCTTGAGAGCTCTGAGTCAGGACCCTGATTACAGGCCAGGAATGGGAGGGGCAGCTTCAACTATACAACATTGAATTCAAAGCTTAACCAGTGTGGGAGCAAAATCTAATCTTGTTAGCTTCCTTGGTAAATCAAGCTGTTAAATCACAAGGCAGAATTGAAACTATCATGGCTTGCTCATGTCCTGTGACTGTAAATTCCATAATGCATCATCCCACATTCAAATCCATTCATTCCAAGTGACTTGCAGAGAAATACAATGGAGTAATGCTAAAAGCAAACTATATCAGAGGTGAACATAAAACATGGGAACATTCAGATAAGCAAAAGCTATTTGAAACAGCAGGAATCAAGTATAAAATGCCATCATGAATTAAAACAAAGGCAGGCAGGAAGGGAGGGAGCATTTTCAGTAGCTCTTTCGAAAGTAGAGTGGCACCGTGACTGCCATGGCTCTGCTCTGTTATGGTACACCAGTACACATTTGCCTTTAGTGAAGGTTCCTTAGCAAAATTGTTATATACTTTCAACTTAATATACTTTTAAAAATCACAGGGCAAACTGGACTCTGGATACAAGAATATATCAGTTTCCAAACATTTTTCTATTCTACTCTATGTCCCAGATGTATCATTATTCACCATATAGTTCCTTCATTTAAGTTTTATGGTTATATCCTCTCTCTTCCCTGACCTACTAACATTGCATTTGAATGTTCATCCATCCGTCCATCCTTTCTTTCATTTTAAAATGTTCTTTTTACCAGTAGAATTTATAAATACAGCCAGTCTGGCCTGGAGTCACTTTTTGCTACTGTGTGTTTGTTCCTGCCAGCAGCTAATCATTTCCAGCACTCACGACAAGCTTCTTTGGCATCCACAGTGTTTGGATTAAGTTGGCATTTTTTCCACTGCAGAACTCTCTGCTATGCAATAGCTAAATATATTGCTGAGCAGAACTGGACCTCTTCCTCCTCCAGCTGATAGCAATGATTAGACTGGTTAAATCAGCACAAGGGAACAACAAATACAAACAAACAAAACTGTGCACCATCACCAGGGAAAGCTTCCTTTAAAACTACCTGTGGTTTTTGGCCCGTTGGAATAGCTGCACACAGAGATGAATCAATGTCACCCATGGGATGCAAATTCTGGGGCAGTTGGGTTCACTGGAAATTTACCAAATGTATATAGGAGAGATAGATCATCCACTGTTACAGTCAGGGGCACTACTGATTTGGCTTGTTATGATGTTAAGAAGACTGTAATTGCAGGCACCTGCTTAGGGCCTGCATCCCATCAGAGACCAGCTGGCAAGAGCAGCTTGGATCTGCTTCTGCTCATTCACTTCCCTCTTGCTCCTGCTCAGTACTAGTGGTGGTGAGAAGGAGAGGCAGGAGATGCTTCTGCCAGCTTGCTCACTGCCTGCCGTGCAAGCCATGGTAGCAATGAGGGTGAGGAACGGCTGCAGCTGGTGACAACTGAGTAAGAAGGCAGGCTCCTGGACAGGGTGCCTGGCCCAGGAGTCCTCGGGGCCTGGGAGCCAGTCTTCCCAAATATCACACTTGTACATCCAAAGTGCTACAATGACAAACTTCAGAAGAGAGAAGGTGAAATATCGAAAATAACACAAACTAAAATTACTGATGGTAAATGTCAGTTTTCTGAGATTCAGACATGCAAATATACTAGGGTAGTTTCTGAAAACTGGCTTCAGCTGGAGTCAGAGCTTCCCTATCTGCACCCGTGGTATCACGTCAACCATATTATGAATATTTTGATCAATGTTGCTTTATTTCTAGGGACAGAACATCCACCGCTCTGCAAAGGATGCTAGGATTGTGTTGTTGCCAGTGACTTCTGTTGTGAGTGGTTATTGTGCTTGTTTTGAATACATTTTGACTCTAATTAGATTGCTACAGACTGCGCTGATGACTTTTCACAACCATTTGGCACATTACAGTTTTTTCCTCTATAGTTGTGAGTGTGTGTGTATTCTCACCTGTCAAATGAACACAGACTCACTGAATGAAGGGGTGCTTTTTTTGATTATTCAAGGTTCCCCAAGTTTTTCTTGTTTTTGCTGTGACAGATTTGCTCAGTTACCCCACTGGAAATTATTCTCAGCAATAACAACACTGATGAATGATGGATGAAGAGTATGGTTAAGACTGCCTGTTCACAGGGAACAGAAAATGCCATCCCACCAGATAATTAGTTAAATCACTGGGGGCTAATATTCAAGCAGATCATGCCTGTTTACCTGCCTTACATGTCACATTATATTATATGCAATGGAAAAAAAAAACCCTTAGAGACAGAAAGTCTATCTTAAGTCATACCTTTGTTCTTCTCATTAATGAGTGCAGAAAACATGAAATACTCCCATCCTTACAGAGTTACTGACACAGATTAGAAATGCCATTGATCAATAAACACATATTTTAAAACCCACCCTTTTCCATCCTCACTGCAGGTATGTCATAATGATTACCTGCCATCAGGGGCTGATTCATCTACTTCAAGCAAGCTCTTTCAGGTATGGCTCAGTTCTGCAGCACCCCCCCCCCCAAATTTCTAGGCCATGTGTAAGCTGAGATTTGCTCAAGTCAGCAGGAAGAGTCTCAAGGCATGAGGGTTCCTGCAGTCTCAAGAAGGTTCTACCCTTATGAGAGTTTCTCTTCACAGCCTCCTTCTCCCTGATACTCAAACTCTTCTGTTCCCCTTGGACCAAAGACACTACTTCTTACACATATTGTTTGGTTTTAGCTGTTTTAAAAAATCAAAGTATTTCTGATTTTATATCTTTTATTGCATTTTATTT